AAAAAAAAAAAAAAAAAAACATCTTTGATGCAGCTGGGAAATGGTTCTGGGAGATAAAATGAAGGAGAAGGAGGATGCGGCTCCTGCCCCCAAGGTCAGAAAAGGGGATGGTCTTAAAGCTCCTCTCTGAAGGGAGTAAGCCGAGGGAGGATTGAGATGGAGGTGTGGCTTGACCACAGAGGTACCCTTATTCTGCCCAGACAGGTGCTGTCCTCTGAAGGCCATTGTCATTGTAGTTCCTGGTCCAGACTCTGGTTGCCTGGGAACACTCCGGAATCCTAGTCAGCCGCCCTAGACAGGCCCATTTAGCCTTGACTCTGTCCACCAGGCCCAAGCAGCTCCACACCCTTTGCTTCCGCCATCTTTGACGGCCGGGAACACACCCAACCCTCTGGGGACTGGTGTGAATGGCATCTTTGCTGTGTGCCCGTTGGGTCTGAGAATAGGAAGAGTGGCAGCGGCCGTGGAAGCCGAAGGAAGCCGTGTGTGAAGGAACGAAAGAAAAGCAAGAGAAGAAAATGGAGAGGAAGGGGAGTTGAGGACAAAGAGAGGTAAAGCAAGGCTGGGATACGATACGAGGCCACTATTGGAGGAATACACGCCATCCCATCAGTCTTTCCAGACATTATGTTCTCCCTGCCTGAGCTCTTCTGTTTGCCTTCCGTTGGCAAAATTTACTCCATGTTCACCGTATAGCTTACGAAACCACAGGTGTCTTCACCACTGCCATCCCGACACATAACACGCTCTCCGCACATCCCCTTGAGAAGCATCGTAAGGTAACGCGGATATAACCGTTTTCTTTTTTTAGGCAATATTGGACGTTGTCGTGAATCTTCAGTTTAGCCTGATAGAAAAACTGTGGCAAACCTTCTGGCGCTATTCTCCCTCTACTCCAACCGACGGCACTACCATCACCGAATCAAGGTCAGAATCAATATGCTTTTCCAATTCATTTTCATGGCCGAGTAGATGTCACAGCTAATAAACGAGAGATATGTATACCAGTTGTGAACCTTACGTGATGACATTAAATGAATGGATAGAAATGAACCACAAAGTGCTCTCTGGAGGTTTCGGTGTGTGTGTGGTAGCTCCCATTTTTATTGATTTGGGGGACTGCGGTAGAGCTGTTTCATCCTCATGGAATTAGTATCACACCTGCCTCTCATGCCGTCAGAAAGCATTAACGTGCACAGGCAGCTCTGGGGGCGTGTTATATGTATCCAGCCGTACGGAACCAGTGCAATGGTGGTATAGTGCTAACCTCAGTAATATTTGATAAACTAAAACTATTTTTAAAGTCCATTTTCTTTTTTATCCTCATTTGCCATCTGTTCATTTGCTACATTTATTCACACCAGCAATCTGAGTGAAATAGAAAGTCGACTTCCGAAAGCAAAGCTGATAACTCTGTGCAAACATGAGTCTATCCTGAAATGGATGTGTAACTGTGACCATGGGATGTACCAGGCTTTGGTGGAGATTCTCATCCCCGACGTGCTTAGACCTATTCCTAGTAAGTTAAATGCAGACAAGTACGGATGCTTTTATTCTCATACATTCCACCCAAGAAGTTTGGGGAAGCGACGTCGCGATCTAGGGTGATTCTAACCTCATTTCGATTTGCCAAATAAAAGAAAAAAACACAAAAACAGAAAACCATGCAACACAAAAGAATATTGAATGAAAGCAGCTTAGAGCAAAACTGTAGTTAAACGGGGAAAAAAAAAACCACGATCTGTTTTCCAATCTTTCATTTTCTTTTCAATAGAAAAGATAACCTAAAGATGTGACAGCCATCAGTGACTAATTATTATCAGAACACTCCCAAGCCAGGCAACCTTGTAAAAATTATTCTCCCCAAGGACACAGTTCCCTTCAGAAAGCCAAAAGTTTATGAAATCTGTAATTGTGGGGCCAGCCTCCTTCCTTCGTGGTTGCTTTTGATTTGAAATGAATTCATCTTGGTTTCCACTAAAGTTGAATTCCTGTATAAAAGCATTTACTTTGTCACCCTCCATCACGTTGAGAACCACAAATGCAGTTTCCATTAACAGTAATGGTTAACTGGCATTTGGAGAGAAAAATCTCTCTCTCTCTCTCTCTCTCTCTCTATATATATATATAAATACATGAGCATTCCCACCATGAAGCAAGTAGAAATTACATAGATAAATTAGGTTTCCTTTTTTAAGGGATGGTGCATATTTGGAACAAACAAAGTCATTTTCTGCACGTGTCAATATAAATGCTACCGTGGATACTTGTGGGAGAGGTAGGCAGTTGAAATGATTTTATGCGAACACCTTGACGAGCACATACTAGTGACCTTAACTTTTCAAGAAGTGGGACAGAATTTCCACTCTGCAATGACATGAATAAAGTAAAAGCAGTCTTTTAGCTTGTGAAATTGGCAACCATGTGCTTCAAGTACACTGTTCACAGTTGATTGATGTTAAATCCTAACAAAGTCTTGAAGGAGGGATTTTGTAGAAGGCAAGGTGAAGATATCAGCATGTGTATGTTTATATTTCCTTTTTTTTCTAAATATGGCAAACAGTGGAAGATCGTGCTTTCCACCTGTTTCCCGCCATCTTAAAATATATGCTTAGATACTCATTTGCATATAATATCAACGAACACACATAAGTTTGTATAGAAATAAGTTTAGGAAAAAGAAATCCAACTGTCACTGTCTCACATTTTTGTCGATTGCTAGTATTTTCCACTCTATCTGCAGCAAGCTTCCTGACTGACAATTGATTAAAAATGACGCTGTCATGGAAAATTGCAGTGTGTAAATTCTCTACTGAGTTATGTTCCAGAATCTTGATTTTCCTTGTTTTTGTCTTGCTCCCTGTGCTCTGAGTGATAATCTTAAACAGTTCTGAAGCCTTTTGCTTCTGTTAGCACCAGAAGACTTTTGAAGTCAACAAGTTTCCTAAACTAAGTCATGTATCAATTTTAATTGACTCTACGCCTCATCATTTTAAGCGCACAGTACACTTGACCTTTGTTTTGTGCAAATTTTGATTCGAAAACCCGTTTCTTCTGCCCAGAAGTTTGTCTCTACATTTAGCAGACAACTCAACTTCAGGAATTTTCACCTGACGTTAGTTTGATAGCTTCTGTGAAGTTACCAGGGACATTAATGTGCTACCGTCCAAAGTACATTTGGAGATTTAATTCTGATTCTGCAACAAGACTTAAGAAAATACGACTTAAATTACAGCTTAAATAGCTATCTTCCGATCATGTGCCTTTTAATATCAATCGCAAGCAGGTTGAGACAAGTTAGCTTTGGAATCGTTTTCAATTGTAAACCATCCATTCATGAGAAAAAGTTGTCAGAGTCAGAATGCACAATTTGATCTGACATGAATCCCTAGAGAGAGAGCAAACTTAATTTTATTTTTAAAAATTATACTTTCCTGGCTACAAGTACTTCACTCTACCGTTTACTGTCCAGATGGGATTCCTTTTTTTAGCCAAAAAATGTCTGCATATCACACTAATTTGAAGTCAGCTTGAAGCTACTATATTCTAAAATACATTTATCTGAAAATGAAAAAACAGTGAAGTGTAAGAATTGCATAAGAACTCAACCAGTAACATTTAGGTACAATTTTGAGCGTATGTAAAGGTGGCCCCCGATGTCATGTAGTACAAGAAAGCAAAAGCTTACAGTCACTTGATACACAAAACATCTTTTTCTCTAATAATCTTCCCTAGCATGAAATTTGTCCAGATGAAACAAGACCCATGCTAAATATTTTTTTTTTAAAGTAACTTTTCTTGCTTCTTGGTTTTTTTTATGCTGATCGAGTAATGCGTTCTATGTTAACAGTAGAAAACATGCAAATGCAGATAGCCAAGTTGAATTTTGAACAAAATTTTACTGAGTTTCAAAAAGGGTCGTTAATTTTTTTTCACTCTTTTTTCATTTCCATTCATGCCTGCCCTCCATGGTTCTAATACATAAGACAGCAGAAAAATATTTTTCTTTCTTTTTCTTTTTTTGGCTCAAGTGGGAAGCTCTGGAAATTTCACAAGATTCATTCTCTAGAAATTTCCAAGTCCATGTTTCCAGTAGATGATTGTCATGTTTAAGAGTCGATACTTCTTGAGTGTTTTTCCTGATCAAAATTGAGTCATTTGAACCTCTGTTCTATCATTTGACCAGTGAAAGAAAGGATTTAAAAAAAAAAAAAAAAAACAGTTGTTTTTATGATTGGGATAGTGAAATTTGTATCTTTCGCAAGCGACTTGAGCAAGCTAAATTATTTCTAACCCTGCTTTAACAAAAATGATAGAGAGAAGCATGTCAGACTCATTTGAGCACAGGAAGAAAAAGCAAGGAATTTAATCCCAGCATTAACATTAATATCCTTGGTAGCCTTGGAGAAAAACATAGCTTCTGTGTGTCTTAGACTAGACTACAAATTCGAATGCCTACCACGTTATTGAGAACCCACAGAGGTTAATTTCATGTTGTGGGTGTTTCAGACACTTTTCTGTTAAATGTCTGAAACTGTCCCCTACACTGAGGAGCGTTGGGTACAGATGAAGTAAAATGCTATTGACTGAATTACTTTGTTGAACAAGAGAAGAAGTCTTTTTTTTTTTTCTATTATACGACAGTCCCTTCTTGTAAAATAATTGTAGTCATTACTGATAACTGATGATGCTTCCAGTCATTTTATGACCACTATAAAAACTACTCTCATGGGACCCAGCCCTCTTTCAGGTCTTAACAGATTCATCAAGAACATGGAACGGACTATTTTAGGAATATCTTAAGAATACCGGTCTCTGTGACAGCAATTTTATCACATTGATCTTTTTATCTCTACCTGCCAAGTGAAATGGAGAATAGTTATCCAAAATTTTCAAGTCAGGCAATTTTAATTTTTTCCTTACTTTTCAACAAGAGTAACAGATAACTAATATGATATGTTCTAGCATGAATAAATACGTAGAGGAAGGGAGAAAGCTGTGCAATATTTTCTTTTTAACTGAAGAAAGGAAAATTGACTAAGAGCTTAACAAATCAAGATGAAGAATTTATAAAGAAAATACTTAGCCTTTGAGCATAAAGCTGTTAACGAAAGAGTGTCTCGTTTAAGATAGAAAATTCCATTAAGTATATTCACAACTGGTATATGTCGCTATAAGCAGAAACGTTTGAATGTTTTCATTTCCCAACAAAGTGTCATAAATATCTGGGAAAAAAATAGCTTTAAAAGAAAAAAAAAACCCAAAATACAATTCTTGGATGCTTTCAAAGTTAGAAATAATGTTAAAAAAGTCTTGTCAATGAGGGCAGTATAAGTTGTGTTATTTGAAATGTCATATACACATTTTTTCTCTTCTCCTGGAATAAAGATTAATGTTCTTTGGTGTCTTTTTCGTTCTGCTTTTATTCTTTAACATTTAGGTGCCTTGACCCAAGCCATTCGAAATTTTGCAAAAAGCCTTGAAGGTTGGCTTTCCAATGCCATGAACAATATCCCACAGAGAATGATACAAACCAAGGTAAGTTTTTATGTTTTTGCTTTTTCCTCTGTATTTAGAAAATTGTTCTGTATTATGTACAATGTAGAAAATTATTCTGTATTATGTTGGTATCGTAATATATTGAACTTTTCAAACCGATTTTTCATTTTTGCTTTATCACCATGTAATAAAGAACTTTCACAGGAGATGTTGTTTGATAATGCTCCTTTCAAAGAAACTAGAGAATCTTTTCAAGTGCGGTGTATTTATAAGCTCTTTTTCCAAAGTATATATTCCAGATTGCTTAATTTCAAAAATTAAAGAGGATCACCTAGAATGTTAAGTAGTTTCCATTTGAGTGAGTTTTAGCTTTTTGAAGTCCCCAACTATACTCATTATATTGCGAAACGTTCATGTAAATTGATACTCTTTTGATTTTCAGCATGTTTTATTTTTTTCAACACTGGAGCATGCTTTTGTGACTAGGTAGTCATTTCTTAAAGTGAGCAACTGTCTCATAATTGATCAGTGTTTATAAGGAACGTGGATTGTTTAGCTAGAGAAATGAATCCTGATCTCCACTTTGTCTCCTCCTAACCTTACTACTTTAGGTTAATCTGTGAACATATCCTCTGGCAAGATGGGACTGATTTTGTCTAAACTTTGTACCAAAAATTACATTCGTGGCTTTTTCTCAATGACTGTATCCACTGTCAGACTTCGGCTACACACCTTGTCTTTCAATTTGGGGGCATAGTTGAGAGATTGAAGTTCTTGTCGCTGGCCAGTCTCGTTGGTAGCACGAGTAGCTCCCAGTTCTTTCTGCTTTGAGTTAAGATTTGCAATAACACTTTCTAAAGTGTGCAGGAAAAAAAAAAAACAAAACAAAACACAGCTAAGCAAAAAAATAAAACACACTGAAGGAACATTTCATCGGTATTCCCACCTTAGATTACTGCTCTAGAGCTATGCTGTTAATGCATGCATTAAGGATAGCCACATTGACTTCTTAAATTTGAATTTTACCTTTAAATTAAACTAAAATTTGAGTTCTTCAGTCACACTAGCTATGTTTCCAGTGGGCCATAGCCCCACATGACCAGTGGCGACCATATTTGGCAGTATTTCCATAGAGCATTTCCATCATCGCTGAAAGTTCTAGAGTGCCACATTGAGGTGGACAAAGACAAGAGGTGCCGTTTGATTATGATGGTTACAGGAACGCTTTCCCATTTGCGAAGTCAGTCATATTCACAACAATACTTCAAACAGTTAAAAACACCTCCCTTCCCAGTATTACCAAAGCAACTGTGGTAGCAGTCTGCCATATTGGCCATTTCATCGGTCCCCAGAGTCGATTTGGATGACCTGTCTTGGTAGAGGGTGCCTTCTGCTTTTCAGCTGTCAGTGACGTGTAGCCTTTTTTTTAGCTGAGCACTCCCTCAGTGAAGATAATCTACCGTGACAGAGGAAAGAGCATAATGAGGTTATGACTGGCCATTGTTATCAAACATACTCCATCACTGTAACTTAGTTTCTGTGTAACCTTGAGCAAGCTATAGAATCCCTTTAGGACACAACATGTGTCTAATATAATAGTTCTAAGAATTAAACAAGGTAATATATGTGAGGCACTTACCGTGGTTTCTGGCACATAGGATGTACTCAGTTAATATAAATCACGGAAATGGAAAGAAAGTGTTAAGACTTATTTTTTGAAAGAATGTGACTCCTCCCATGTTCCACATAGTCCTGAAACGTCTATCAGAACACAGCATCCTTTGACCTGGGAACACCAGTATGGACTATTTAATCAGTTGCTGCTTACGTGCCCATCGTGATTTAATGGCTTACCATACGTTCCTATCAATATGGTAAAATGGTCATTAGGTTTCCTCTGCGTGTGATCAGTTTCCAGGAGATCGTGAGATTTAGATATTTACTGAAGACTTTTTTTTTTGACATTATTTTTGATATCTTTCAATGTACCTGTTTTATTCAAGGTCTCAGCAGGAAGCAAATGGTATATCCAAAGGGAGATTAATTGAAAAAAATTTAAGAAGGGTCTGTTTCCAAAGGTGTAAACAGAGTTAAGAAAACCCGGAGGAATGGTGAAGCACCCCAGGACTAACAATAGTGAGAAGTCCTGAGCATCCCTAGGTCTGAAGGGGAAAGAGGTAAAAGCTATGGCCTTAGGAGATCATCTCCTTCCCCGCCCACCCCACCCCCCCCATCCCCCGCCCCAGGACTGTGGTCTTAGACCAGGAAAGCTGGCTTTGCCAAAACAGGGAGAGAGCAGAGGTTGTAGGGGAATGCATACTTTGAACTCAACTCTCTTTTTTCCTATCCTTGTGTCCCTCCCAGTGTCTATCATTGGCTGAACCCAACTGGAAGCCAGAGTTTAAGGAAAGTGGTTAATGTAGTCCATTCAGAGTAGTCTTCCTGGGCACAGAGCGAAATGAAGAAGGATAGAAGGTAGATGAGGGGCAAATGGAGGAATCCTGGATAGCCTTTGCACATAGATTGAGATTTTTGCTTTATGTCTGATCAGTTTATCGGCTATGTATTTGCTGATAGAAGCTATGAACACTCTTGTTTCACCTGAAAAATTCCCAGGTTTCTACAAAGTAAAGGCGATAAGAGTGAATCTGAATGACATTGCTCTGAAGAGTCTATTTTTTTTTTATCCATTTAAAAAAGTGAGGCTATATAGTTTGGTTTTCTAAAAAAAAAGAAAAAAATTGTATTTACAGAGTTTGTCGTTGAGGGTCCTACAGAGAGTAAAAAAGAAACGAAAGGCAACATTTTTCCTGCTTCCCTAGACAAAGTCATTTCCTGCAAGACTGGTTTAATTAGTGCTGCACCCAGATGTCGAAGAACATGGGAGTTTGTTTTAGTGTTGACCTCTACCTACTCAAAAGGAAAATAATACTCGAGTTTAGAGATTTAAATGCTATAATTTACAAGTAAGCTCTCGCACGAAATGAACTTGAACCAAGTATCAGAAGGAAGCATTTAAAATTTGGCAGGGCAATAAAGATTTGAAGATTACAGTGGTTTCTTTTTCTGGAGAGAAACAACTACCCGATTTTGATGGGATTTCTTTACAGGTCGCCGCTGTAAGTGCCTTTGCCCAGACTCTGCGAAGATACACGTCGCTCAATCACCTGGCCCAGGCAGCTCGCGCAGTGCTTCAGAACACTTCTCAGATCAACCAGATGCTCAATGACCTCAACCGCGTTGACTTTGCCAATGTCCAGGTACTCCGTTTCCTTTCAAAATGGGTCTTTTGAGGAAAGACGCCTCATTCTTCTTCATGAGGATCGTCGTATTTGTTTCCATAGTTGCATCCGCGCACAGACGGCATCTATGTCCACACTGTCCTGCAAGATGAGAGTTTGACTTGGCCAAGACTTCACTGCTCCTCTGTTTTGTGGTTAAAGTCAAGTCTGCTAAGATTTATAGTACTAGATGGGAACAGATGTCAGCAGGGTTTGCTAGATAGTTAATGGAGCAGGGACGCTCACAGTCCTTGAAATCAGGTAGGCAAGAGATTAAACTCTTTTAGCTACTAGTTGTGGGACGGTGGGCAAGTTATTTAACTGCTCTGGGCTTTCCCTTCCACACCTTATAATACCTATCTTAAATTATTGTTGACATACGTAGGAATACATGAAGTCCTTTGCACCGTAACATACAAGAGGTGTATGTTTTTAATAGTGCCCCACCTTGAGGGGCACCTGGGTGGTTCAGTTCAGCGTCCAACTTTGGCTCAGGTCATGATCTCACAGTTCATGAGTTTGAGGCTTGTGTTGGGCTCTCTGCTGTCAGCTCAGAGCCTGCTTTGGATCCTCTGTCCCCCTGTCTCTCTGCACCTCCCCCTCTTGTGTGCTTGCTCGCTCGCTCTCTCAAAAATGAACATTAAAAAAAAATAGTCCTCCCCCTTGAAAGAACTAGGAAGACTTAGAAATTCTATTTCAGAGTGCCTGGTAAATATTTGTTCATTTGAAAGGAATTAGGTGCAAGATGTTTGACTGTTTTGTTCGTCCAAAAAAAAACGTACTTGAACATTGTGATCAAACTATTCACTTGTACTTTAAGGTACACTTAAAAAGACAGCTAATTTAGGAATATTATGAAATCCCACAAATAGTTTATTTCAGATACTAAGGTGATGAAACTAGTTGTTACCATGTAAAAATAGTACATTGCTCACTCAAAGTACAAGCAAAAAAAGAAAGAAATGCAGAAACTGAACATAATCAAAAACTTCTGTGCTTCAAGAGACCAGCAAAAAAACTGAAACAACAACTGATAAGAATTGATGAAATTTTCTACTCCTGAAATCATTATTACATAGAAATACCTACCTACCTACGTACATACATACATACATTTGAAAAAAGAATTGAGAAGATTTTTACAAATTATATATCTGATAAAAGAATTGTATCTGGAATATGTAAAGAGCTATTACAACCCAATAATAAAAAGATGGCCCAGGTAGAAAATGGGTGGCGACCTCCATAGCCATTTCTCCAAAGAAGATCTACCAGTGGCCAACAAGGACCTGAAACGATGCTTAACGTAATTAGCCACCACAGAAATGCAAGTCAGAACCACAGGAGATACTGTTTCCCACACGCTAAAATGGCTATCATGAGGCGGGTAATCAGAAAAAAAATGAAGGGAGTTAAGGGTGGACTATGCTACCCTAGGAAAGAGATTACCGATGAAAACAAATAGTGCGAGAAGTCAGATGGAGGGCGAGATGAAGGGCACGCTTCTGTGGTCATGGTGAAAAATGGAGCCCTCGTGCACTACTGATTAGAACGTACGATGAGCCCCTTTGGAAAACGGTCTGGCAATTTCTCAAAAGGTTAAACATGGAGTTTTACCAGATGACTTAGCAACTTCACCCATAGGTACCTACGGAGAGAAAGGAAATCGTGTCCACATAAAACTTGTCTGTGGACATTCGTGGCAGCTTTATTCACGTTTGCTGCATAAAAGTGGCAACAACCCACTGCCTGTTCACTCCTGAGAGTATAAACAAAGTGGGGCATATCCACCCAATGGAATATCATTAGCAATAATAAGAAATGAAGTTCTGATGGCTGCTACAGTGTGAATGAGCCTTGGAAATATTATGCTAAGGGAAAGAACCCAGACACAAAGGACCATGGAGTGGATGATTCCATTTATATGAAATGTGCAGAATAGACAAATCTGTAAGAGACAGAAAGATCCATGACTGCCTGGATTTGGGGGACCGGGAATTGAAGGGTGACATAGGACACAAGGAGTGTGGGGTTTCTCTTGGGGGAAATGAAAACGTCTTAAAATTGTGACGGGTACACAGTTCTGTGAATGTACTACGGGAAGCCATTGAATGCTATACTGTACACAAGTGAATTATATGATACGTGAGTTATATCTCGATAAAACTTAAAAAAAATCAATATCTTGGGGTGCTGGTGGCACCCTGGTACCTGGTACCTGGGTGGCTCAGTCGGTTAAGCATCCAACTCTTCATTTCAGCTCAGGTCATGATCTCATGGTTAGGGATTTTGAGCCCTGCATCAGCCTTTGGATTCTCTGTCTGCCCTCCCCCCCCCCCCCCCCCCAGAATAAATAGATAAACTTACAAAAAATACACTTTGGCTTAAAAATAAACCATTAATGACTCCCATTTCTTAGAAATTTTAATCCACAGTTCTGGTCTATTTCCGTTACTTAAATATATCAAAAAGTAGTATTTGGGCTTGATTCATTCTAAGGCATAGTAATTAGTTAAGTTCATTCTGACTTTCATGGATTGAGCTCAAACTCCTAGTTATGGGGAAAAATTTTTTTAAGATGTATCTTTCTATGTATCTATGTATTAACACATATAAATACACACATGCAAACATAAAACGTTCATAAGAGCAAACTGTCTCAGGTTTGCAAAGCCATTGACTTTACATAGTTCATTGAAATTTTACATCAACTGATTTTCATGAGAATAAGTTCATATTCCCTTAAAATTTCTCCTACAATGTTTCTTTCAAATCTTCATTCAGAAAAGATACTTTAAAAAGTATCTTTAAAAGTTGAAGTAATAAGGTAACTTGTAGTTTCAAAAAGTAATGTAAGTTCAATAGCAGAAAATATATTTAAGAACGATTCCCCAGGAAAAATAAGATAAAAACAGGGAGGGAGACAAACCATAAGTGACTCTTAAATACAGAGAACGAACTGAGGGGTGCTGGAGGGGAGGCGGGTGGGGGGATGGGTTAAACAGGTGATGGGCATTAAGGAGGGCCCTTGTTGGGATGAACACTGAGTGTCATATGTACGTGATGAGAATCCCTGGGTTCTACCCCCAAAGTCAAGACTACCCTGTATGTTAACTAACTTGAGTTTAAATAAATAAATTTAAAGGGAAAATAAGTAAAATAACATGCTTTTTATATATCATTTAAAAAAAAAGAATACTTCCCAATAATAAACAGCTGAGAAGGGTCTTCTGTAATATTTGTGCATCTGTAACCCTATGAAGTATTTATGCAAGTGAGTTCTTCTGGGTTATAACTGCCAACCTTGAGACCGTCTTTGCATATACATGGTGGGTCATACCTCCTCTCTTCTCATCCTCTGCCCACCAATTGAGGCTACGTTTTTCCCTTGCTCTGCTTTCAGCTCCCAAGTTTTCCCGGGTCTGCGTGACAGTTATTAGTGCTGGGACGTGTATGCTCTACCCTCTACCCTCTATCCTCTTTCCTTTCCTCGGGGGACCAGGAACAACAGTGGCATGCCCTTCGTGCCCCCCTACACCTTACTTGGCACCCTCGTTTTAATCAGTTATCTCCTTCTTAGGGTGCTACATTCTGTCTCTACTCCCTTCTGGCTTTCCTTTTCTGTTTGGAGGTTTGCTGGGTTTTCCTAGAGTCCCCTGGAGTTCTCCTTCTTCTTCCGTTTCTCATTCCGATTTTATCACCCTCTCCTGTTCACCTGGAAGTTGCCCCTGCCCCTCTAAGATTGACCTCAGTAGCATGGACACCCGTGGGGGTGATGGCTCTTGCATCAAGGAGACTTTAATGTAAAACAATGAGGTTACATTTCAGTGTAAATAACATAACGCTCCGAAGAGCTCGAAAGTTCTAACAGGTTTCCTTCAGGATATCCATAAATCTTCATCACCATTGCATTCCCCCCTAATTAAATCTTCTTTTCCGCATGCGTTCAAGATGAGTTTTCTACCGCCACATTATTGATTTTCTGTTTCATTGAATCGATAGCATTACAATGGCACCGTTTTTATGTGTAAGTTTTCCATCTGCATTACGGGCAAGTAGGTTTGGTAGGTCGACCTGATGCGGTATCATCGCATACGCTTGTGGTTGTTTATTTAAAAGACATTCTGATTGTGAAGCTACTGACTCCTCATCATTTTGGATATAATTTATTTGTAAGTTGAGAACATCTCTAATGGTCACCCTTAGCTTTGGCCGTTTACAGAGTTGAAATGTCCAGATTGTTTCACAAGGGAATATTTACAGCGTACTCTGTTATCAGTATGTTTTCAATCTCCAGAGTAGTAAAATGGCGTATAATGTCATTTGAAAAGCCAGACAATGTCCTGTGGTTTTATTTGTCTGAGTTAGGTTTCAGTTCCCCATCATCCTGTCTTTCCTTACAGCTAACTTCCAAGTAGATAGTGAGCTTGAATTTATGGTAAGAAATGAAATGAAATTCCTCCAAAGATACCAGTGCGATATCCTCCCCTAGTCTCAGGGCACAAACAAACAGAAAACACCCCCTCCTACAGTGAGTATAGAGTTTCACTTTTGCAAGATGAAAAAGTTCTGCAGATCGATTGCATAATAAAAAGCAGATGGTTGACACTCCTAGACTGCACTCTTAAAAAATGGGTAAGAAGATATGTGTTATGTTCCGTGTTTTTCACCACAATTTTTAAAGTGCTTGGACATTAATGCAAAGAACAAAAACAAACTTCCCAGTCCTTTCCTTGATGCCTAAATTCTTCCCTGGGTACTCTCCAAAACTCTTGATATAAAATTTCCGAGTCATTTGACAGGGTGTGTTGAAGGAGCTTAGCTGTTCTTATGTAATTCTATCATAAAGAAGTAAGTGCAGAATTTGCAAAGATAATAGTTTCAAGAGAGATGGTTCCATCGTTCTTCCTAATAGTAAAAAACTGGAACCGATGGACTTGGTTCTGTAAATAATGGCATATTCGTGCCTTACAGCAAATTCAGTCATTCAACAATAAATATAGCTCTACATTTGCCTACATGGAAATTCAGTTATCATATGGAGGTTAAGTGAAACTAAGCAGGATCTCTACTAGAATGTATAATAGGATCCTTCCCTAAGTATTTATATATGCATCAGCACATATCATATGTGCAAAGTTTGAAAGGTTTACACATCAGCATGTTTTAGTTAGCTCTTAGCGTTGACATCTTAGCTACCGTTAATATTTTTTTTCCTTTGTGCTTGTTTGTATTTTCAGGTTTTTCTATAATTCTGTCTTAGTGCACTTAAAACATTTGAAAGTGATACTTAGGAGGTAATTCTGAAAGACTTTATGGCTAATAATTAGGTAAGAGAAGGATAGGGGATGGTGTCATCTGTTGAGAATTTAGAAGAAACTGGAGGTCTCCCTGGGGAAATAAAATAAATTCAGTTTGGGCATTTTGTATTTGAAATGCCTCCCGGTTGAAATGTCTCTTGAATAGGTAATGTCTATACGATCAGAAGAGACGCTGGAACCAGAGAATGAAGATTAGGGGTTTATTCAGCCGAAACTATCTATGCGAATGAACTTGTCCTCTGAGAGCTCGGAGAATGGAAGCTATAAACACCCTTTGCAGAAAAATACACACATAATCACAATGTTTTAGGTGTAGAATTAGGACCTTCACAGACACCCCTCCACGGGAGCTTATCTCGAAAACATTATCTGCATGCAGTGAACCCGGCTTAAAAGTTCCTGTCACATTTCATTTCTCTATTATATGCTGGGAACACGAGGCCCACATAGATTACGTGGGTTACTTGAGGTCAGTTTAGTTGATTTGCGCCCTGTATTAAGATCCATGTCCTGGGGCGCCTGGGTGGCGCAGTCGGTTAAGCGTCCGACTTCAGCCAGGTCACGATCTCGCGGTCCGTGAGTTCGAGCCCCGCGTCAGGCTCTGGGCTGATGGCTCAGAGCCTGGAGCCTGTTTCCGATTCTGTGTCTCCCTCTCTCTCTGTCCCTCCCCCGTTCATGCCCTGTCTCTCTCTGTCCCAAAAATAAATAAACGTTGAAAAAAAAAATTTAAAAATAAAAAAAAAAAAAAAAAAAAAAAAAAAAAAAAAAAAAAAAAAAAAAGATCCATGTCCTCTGATTCTCCGCCAAACGTTATATTACCAAATGATTATATTTCGACATTGAGAGTATATACTTTTTAATGTTAAAATACAGTATAGCCCTGGAAACGTCCTAAAACTTAGAGCAACTACTGAAACGTAGCTTTAAAAGTTCTTGTTCCCACAGCTGTTACCAACCATGAAACTTCCCAATCAGAGCCAGAAGGAAAACAGTAGTAATCGAAATCCTTGGCAGGTAGATGTCTGCATTTTCTCAAAAGTAGTTTTGTTTTTGCTACTGTTGTATCTCAGTTGTGTGGTTCCCAAAGCCTAAACCTCATACAGCATGTGTTTCCACCCAGTACCATTGAGTTCATCCGTCCGACTTACCCTAAATCTTCTCAAATGGGTTGACTTTAAAGTTTTATCTGATTGGGTTGTGGGGGGCCGGGGCCGGGTGGGGGGGCGGTGAGGAAGGGAGAGAGAGAACTTTTGAAGGCAGTATAAAAACAATAGAAGGAAAGATTGCAGACTGTTGGCTCAGATTCTCTTTTTCGTGGGTGATCATGTATTTTATTTTTATTTTTAATTTTTTTAATGTGTATTTATTTTGAGAGAGAGAAAGCGAGCTGGGAAGGGGCAGAGAGAGAGGGAGAGAGAGAATCCCAAGCAGGCTCCACACCATTTTAATGTTTATTTATTTTGAGAGAGAGAAAGTGAGCTGGGAAAGGGACAGAGAGCGAATCCCAAACAGGCTCCGCACTATCAGCGCAGAGCCCGATGCGGGGTTCGGTTCGATCCCACATACTGTGAGATGGTGACCTGAGCCTAGATCAAGAGTCAGGTGTAACTGACTGAGCCCGCCAGGCGCCCCCGGAGATCGCGTATTTTGATCCTTCACGCAGACCAGCTGACGTGGAAAAACCCAAGTCATGCTGTTTCGTGCACCCAGGCGGTGTTCATTTCCTTGACAGCTGTTGTTCACCTTCCCAGTTCCTTTGGTGGCTTGAAGCCTTCGTGCTAATTTCCCGCCGTGCCCCCGGTTTGCAGGCTGCTGTTGGAGGAAAAGGTGTGGGGCTGAACTTTTCCTCTGCTTTCTGTGTACCGTCCCAGGAGCAGGCCTCCTGGGTGTGCCAGTGTGACGACAGCATGGTTCAGAGACTGGAGACGGACTTCAAGATGACCCTCCAGCAGCAGAGCACCCTGGAGCAGTGGGCCGCGTGGCTGGACAACGTGATGATGCAGGCGCTGAAGCCCTACGAGGGGAGGCCCAGTTTCCCTAAAGCTGCCAGGCAGTTCCTGCTAAAATGGTCTTTCTACAGGTATCGTGCTCACTTTTTCCCAAGCTTTATTCTCCATGCGCTGCGGATGCGCGCGCGCGTGTGTGTGTGTGCGCGCGTGTGTGCGTGCGTGTGTGCGTGTACCTGCTTCTCAGACAACAGACAAGACACGAGTGAAGGCTTGGAGTGCAGACTCCCTGTCGTGATGATGCTCCGCCCACCCCCGGTGATGCCCGCATCATGGGATCGCTCCAGGAGCTTTACGGGAATAACCTGTCAGGAGGAGGAAACCTCTTGCTCCCAGCCCTGGAGTTCTCACCTGGGGACGTCTCATAGCTGCCGTGAGCAGCGACAGAAAAGGGCCGGTGTCGTCCTCTCTGCTGCAGACAGGCATTATGTAGGCTTCTTTCCGGAAGACTTAACACCACTCGCTTGATTCTCTAGTGAGGTGATTTGCAAGCTGTGGTCCCTAGACCAGGAGCATCAGGAGACGTATTCGAAAAGCGAATTCTCAGGCCCCGGCCTCCAAACCGTTAGGATCAGAAACGGCAGAGCCAATCAGATAGGGAGCAACAATCTGTGCTTTTATTTTTTCTTAACATAATTTATTGTCAAATTGGCTTCCATACAACACCCAGTGCTCATCCCAACAAGTGCCCTCCTCTGTGCCCATCACCCACTCCCCCCCCCCCCCCCCGCCCCGCCCTACCAACCCTCAGTTTGTTCTGTGCTTTTAAAAAAGTCATTTAGGGGCGCCTGGGTGGCGCATCGGTTAAGCGTCCGACTTCAGCCAGGTCACGATCTCGCGGTCTGTGAGTTCGAGCCCCGCGTTAGGCTCTGGGCTGATGGCTCAGAGCCTGGAGCCTGTTTCCGATTCTGTGTCTCCCTCTCTCTCTGCCCCTCCCCCGTTCATGCTCTGTCTCTCTCTGTCCCAAAAATAAATAAACGTTGAAAAAAAAAAATTTAAAAAAAAAAAGTCATTTAGGTGATTGTGATGTATGCTCACATCCATCTAGTTAATTTCTTAATTTTATCAGGTACAACCTGGCTGCGTGTTAGAATGTAAAATAAACAAAAATCTTACATACCTCCCCAAACCCTCCTGAATGAATCAAAATCTGGGCGGGTGGGTAATAGTGATTAGGGATAGAGGTGATGGGAAAATGTCTTCAGAAAGCTTCCTCTTGGTGATTCTAATGCATAGCCGGTTTAAGAACCAATAATCTAGTAGACCTGGAACCCCAGAAGAGAAAGCCCTTCAGATTACATGATGTATGACATCAAATGTTGGGATGAGTCGTTGACCATATGTCTCCTGCAAGGGCTAAAGGCAGAGCCTTGTACATAGGCTTATACACCAGAAATACAGGGGATGAACGGAGGGATAGACTTGCATTTCGTAACATGAATTAGTTAAGTTATATTTCTAACCCTGGGATTTTTTTTTCTACCGGTAGGAGTTTAGTGGGTTTTTTTTGCTTCTTTGGATGGAGATGCCCCCACTGCCTCGGGCGTGACGGCCATATCTACCTTGAGGTTTAGGTGGTTCCTGATTTAGATTCTGTCCTCCCATGTAGGTGTCAGAAGGTAGTGACCACAGGACATACCAGACTGGCTGCGGGCACACTGGGGTCGTCATGGTGATGAGTGAGTCCAGGGGTGAGTCCAGAGCTAGCTTTGCAGGGAGAAGGTATATAAATAAGCAACAGAGTTTAGGAACTGGTATACCTGTTAACCCGGAAGCCCACACCCTCTCATTGTGACCCCCTTCATGAAGATGCCAGGCATCTTTGAATTATGTCGGCAGCTGCTTCGCCTCTTACCGGAAGCGATTTCTTTCTTTCAGCTGATTTTACTTGATTTCATCCAATTCTTACTTCTGAAGCTCAAGTAGTACCATAGATCCTTTATAGGTGCTTAATTACAAGTTAGCTTACTCTTACACCCTGAAAATGGTCTCATGTTTAGCCCAGGGTCCAACTCAGTAAAAGGAAGCCTGCCGGTTTTCTATTATTGTCTTGTTTTTGGAATGGCGTAATTCCACAGCTCGGTGCCTCCTACATTGAATAATACCTTTAACGCATGTGATTTGAGAAGCGCTTTATTAAGATGTTGCCTGACTCCGTGACCCCCTGGCACGGTGCAGTAAAACCAGTGTTAGCTTAGATCTGGGTGTGAATGAGAAAAATGTTGATGAGGACTGTTGAAGTTTTCCCCGCTACGTGGAGAAGATTTGGAAAGCATTGTCACAGTGTCTCCAAGAAGATACAGCAATAGTCATAGTAATGGTAGAATTCCAAATTTTAATTTGAGAACATTTCTTAAGAAGGTTTCAGGTATTTTCCCATTTGCTTGTGACTTGACTTTTTTTATTCAAACATTTTCTTCTCAGAAAGTCATACAGATGGTATATGTATTTCATGAACGATGGATGAAACCAGTTATACAAGCCAGTTATTCCAAAACCTATATGGCCAAAAGCCGGGTGCATTCTCTAGATCAGAAAAAAGCAAGGTGTTTTTTTTTTCCTTCCTAACTGCTTTCTTATGTTGTTATGTCAGACTTGCACTTACTCCTTCCTGTGGGTTTTTTTTTTTTCTATATTTAGTTGATATCGTTTTAGAAATATACCCCTGGAGCCTTCGTCTCCACAGAGATCCGTTGCAAGTATCTTGAAAGGAGAGAAAATTACTTACTTGTATTTCTTGTTCTCTGCAGAAATACAAACCCCGTAGACCATCACTTGTCTGCCCTCTGTCCTCCCTGAGTTGGGGATAATTGGCTTGTTATTATTAGACACTATTATGGGTATTATTTTCATTTCAAAAAGACTCAAAGGCGTAGAGTGCAGGACCACAGAAGGAAAGGCATATTCAGACAGATGCATACCTCCTGCTTATAGGCAAAGTCCACAGCTTAGAAACGAAGAGCCCTTAAATCCGAACTGTTTTTTAGTGGGGCTCAATAACATACTGAGTAATGAAAACTGCATTCACAAACTATCAGAGAAGCGGAATTATAGAGTTTTTTTTTTTTTTTCTTCTTCACAGTTTTGGCCTTGTAATAAGAGTTTGGCAGTCACACACACAGACCCTTGGTGTTCTGAAGTCAGTTAATCTGATAATTTCTCAAGGTCTCTGTATCTATTTACATGCATACAAATGGGGAAATGGGCTGGCAGAGAACTGTGACGGCAGCAGGTTGAAGCCTTGCTACAGACACCCTCTGCTCCAAATGGGGGTCTCTCCTTGCTAACCTGGCTTGGAAGGACTACTCTTGGCTCCCCAGGAGGCGGGAAAAAATATTACCACCTTTCCTGGGCAGAAATGGAGAAGTTATGTGGGCCATTTCTCAGCTTGTGTGTTTTGTGGTTAACAGAACAGAACATTCCTCAGAGCTACCCTGAGAGTCATCCAAATATCCCATTTTTAAAGAACAAAATTTATAGCTCTGATACAGTGACTCGAAAGGGGGGACAGGGAATGTAGTTTGCTTACAACTGGACAATTTATAAATCTTCCAAAAAGTAATATTCTTTTGGAATCAACTGTAAGCACTGTTTTAAAAGAGAGTTTGCATGGGGGTCACAGGAGGGATGTTCTCCCTTTTCTTCTGAGGAAGGGTGTGATAGCTCCCCCAATACACGAAGAGGATCATTTGTTAGGGTCTGTGTTTCAGTGCCCAGACCATACGTCTCTCATCCATGACAAAATAATTAACTTGATAAGTCTGAGTGTACAAGAAGTTGAATTCATGGTAACTTAGCAACATGGAATTCACTTAGTCAGTTTTTGCAACATATCTTACGGAAGTCCGAGTCAGACAAAAAGTTTCCAACTAAACTGTTAAATGTGTCATTTAATACTTGGCCTGTAGGGCAAAGGCCCAACATAGAGGGGATACTAAAGTAGCATCGATAACATGATTCAACTGATTCTTTTCTAAACATGGGACAATAATTTCATGCTTATTGGGGCGCCTGGGTGGCTCAGTCGGTTAAGCATCCGACTTCGGCTCAGGTCACGATCTCTCGGTCCTTGAGTTCGAGCCCCGTGTCGGGCTCTGTGCTGACAGCTCAGAGCCTGGAGCCTGCTTCCGATTCTGTGTCCCCCTCTCTCTCTGACCCTCCCCCGTTCATGCTCTGTCTCTCTCTGTCTCAAAAATAAATAAACGTTGAAAAAAATTTAAAAAAATAATTTCATGCTTATCAGCATTTTCTAAAAATCACTAGGTGTTATAACTGAAGGTCAGCGGATTGTTTTTAATTTTCCACCAGAATTCAGGATTATATGTGTATTTTATGCTGAAATAAGGTGACTGCCTAACCGTGCAAGATTTACAAAATACTCCGAATAAAATCCAAGGCTCCGTCCTGGAGACCCGACACGGACCAGGAGGTAGTGCCCCCAGACCTGTTGTATATTCTCTCTTTGCTGACTTTCTTCCAGCCACACTAGGCTCCTGGCTGTTCTTTGAACACATCAAGCCCGGGTCTGCCTCAGGGTCTTTTCATTTGCTCCTGTTTCTGCCAGCAAAGTTCGCATGTTCTCGCTTGGCTCACTTCATTCCAGTTTCTGCTCAGTGATACCACCTTTTCAGAAAGAGTCTTGCTGACAACCTAACTGAAATGCTCGTCCCCATGATTCTGTATTTTTTTATAGGATTTATTTTTTTTTCCTGATTTATGGTTTTTTCCCTGATCTACTGTGTCCGTAGGATTTACCTACCTTTATATTTTGCATCTGCTCGTGTTTCCTCAACTGTTTTCTTTTACCAGAAGGTGAGTTCTGCTAAAACCAAAATTTTGCCTAACTGGTTCTAGAATAAGACCATGGCACAGAGTAGGAATGCAGTAAACATCTATTGAGTGGATGGAGGTAAATTCTCTTGGAAAAAATCCGTGGACTCTGCATATTAGAGTATTATCAGAAAGCTACTTAGTGTGAATATTTTCCTTAGTCATTAACATTATTTCAGGGTTTTTCTATCTTAAGGGAATAAAGGCCTAAAATTTGAACTTAGAAATATATATTATATATAATTCATTCTCTATCTGTGATATTTATCCCTGCAAAGATTTATTGACATTCAACTGACTCAGAATTGTTTTTTTATATTTATAAAGCCATCTTTTAAAATGAACATTTTAAAAGTTTATTTTATTCATTTTGAGAGCTAGAAAGAGCATGAGCAGGGGAGGGGCAGAAACAGAGACAGACCGAGAGAATCCCAAGCAGGCCCTGAGCTGCCAGTGTGGAGCCCAACTTGGGGCTCGAACCCAGAAACCATGAGATCATGACCCAAGCTGAAATCAAGAACCAGATGCCCAACGAACTGAGCCACCCAGGCGCCCCATAAAAGAAGCATTAAAAAATTTTTTGGGGGGCGCCTGGGTGGCTCAGTCGTTAAGCGTCCGACTTCGGCTTAGGTCATGATCTCGCGGTCCATGAGTTTGAGCCCCGCGTCAGGCTCTGTGCTGACAGCTCAGAGCCTGGAGCCTGTTTCAGATTCTGTCTCCCTCTCTCTCTGCCCCTCCCCTGTTCATGCTCTGTCTCTCTCTGTCTCAAAAATAACGTTAAAAAAAATTTTTTTTTAATTTTTTTTAACGTTTATTTATTTTTGAGAGAGAGAGACAGAGTGCAAGTAGGGGAGGAACAGAAAGAGAGGGAAAATAAACATTTTTAAATGAAATCAAAGGGCGCCTGGGCGGCTCAGTCGGTTAAGCATTTGGCTTCGGCTCAGGTCATGATCTCGCAGTTCGTGAGTTTGAGCCCCACTTCGGCCTCTCTGCTGACAGCCCGGGGCCTGGAGCCTACTTCAGATTCCCCCCTTCTCTCTCTCTTCCCTTCCCTCTCTGCCCCTCCACCACTTGCACTCTCTCTCTCAAAAATAAACATTTTTAAAAAATGAAATCAAGATGCACTCGCTTTGGAAAATATTTGAAATACTAAAAATAACAAGCACAGGTGCCTGGCTGACTCACTCAGTAGACCCAACGACTCTTGATCTGGGAGATGTAAGTTCGAGCCCCACGTTGCGTGTAGAGATTACTTAAAATCTTTTTTTTTAAAGAGGCATGTGGGTGGCTCAGTCATTTAAGCGTCTGGCTCTTGGTTTCAGCTCCTGCAATGATCTTGTGGCTTGTGAGTTTGAGCCCCACATCAGGCTCTGTACTGACAGCATGGAGCCTGCTTGGGATTCTCTCTCTCTCTCTTTCTCTCTCTCTCTCTCTCTGCCCCTCCCCTGCTGGTGTGCGCTCTCTCTCTCTCTCAAATAGATAAACTTTTTAAAAAAATCTTTGAAAAAATAATGAGGAATAAACTTACATCATAATTTCAATACCCCAAAATAACCACTGGTAAATTGTTGAGTTTTTTTAGTGTTATATAAAATTGGAATCTAGTTATTTACCATGGTTTATTATCTGTATCTTTCCGTAAGCAGTTTCATTTAACATTATATCTTAAGCATTTCTCATCATTAAACATCTTCAAACACATAACTTTTAATGTCCTCACAATATTCAATATTATTATGTGTACGTGTCATGTGTTATTTAAACATTACCTTTTCCCCTCATTCTGAAGCATTTTGGTGGCTTTTGGCATTATGATACAATTATAAAAAATACTGTCTTGATTATCTTTGCATGAAATTGGCCATGTATCTTCAGACACATTTTGGTAAAAAAGGTTGAACTTTTTGAAGTGACTAACACAGTATTAATGAAGTGTGCTCTCTCAATGCTAATAAAATATTACACATCCCCATTTATTTAAGGATAAGGTTTTTTTTAATTGTAAGACAGTTGTTATATTAAAATGACTCCCACACATTTTACTTCTTTAACTTGACATTATATCATAGTTTATATCATACTTTTATATCATTATATCATACTTTTCCATGTTACTACCTTTATGTCCAATCTCCCTCATTTCTTTAAACTATTGCATACAATTGATATATGAATGAGCCATCATTTATTTAACCACCATCAACTAATGGATATTTAGTGTTCCCTCCTAGTTTCTCACCAGTATAAATACTGCTACAGTTAAAATGATCTTTGTTCATTTGTGTGAATGTATGGAATTAGAATTGGTAAGTCAACGGTTTTCTGCCTTTTTAGTTTTGAGACATAGTGCCAAATTTCCCTTCACCACAAAAGTTTTGTGAATGTATACTCGCAAAAACAGTAAACGAGAGTTATTTTCCCATCTTTTTCGGCAGCACCGGACCTTTTCATCTCTTACAGTACGATAGATGATATGTGGTGTTTTAATTTGTAATTTTGAGTAAGGTTAGTGAAATTTTGTATGTTTGTTAGCCTTTTGTCTTCTCTGGGATATATTATGAATATTTTCTGTCTTTAACAAGAGATGCAATTAGCAAATATTCTGCGTCAATTCGAAATTATTTACTCCAGCTGATCAAGTTTGGATCAGTTTAGGTAAAAATGTTATCCAACATTTTACTGTTACTTTTGTGTTGTGTTTGCTTTTGCTTTTTTTTTTTTTAATGTTTATTTATTTTTGAGACAGAGAGAGACAGAGCATGAATGGGGGAGGGTCAGAGAGAGAGGGAGACACAGAATCGGAAACAGGCTCCAGGCTCTGAGCCATCAGCCCAGAGCCCGACGCGGGGCTCGAACTCACGGACCGCGAGATCGTGACCTGGCTGAAGTCGGATGCTCAACCGACTGCGCCACCCAGGCGCCCCTGCTTTTGCTTTTTTAAGTAGAGGGATTTCTCTGCCTTTTAAGATTTTTCCATAGGAAAACAAATGTTTAATTTCAAATAGGTATTGTGTTTATATTTATTATTTTTACAAATGGGTTATGTGTCATTAAATTTTAGGAAAGGCGTGCATAGAATTATAAACATAATTTTTTATCTGTAGCATAGGAATGAAAGAATTAATCTATTTCTAGTAGCTCACTTCCTGAGTTCTAAACTTGAGGTATTCACTAAGGTATTTGAGTCTAAGGAATTATTCACTAGAACTACGGTTTATGACAATGAATGTATTATTAACTCTAATATATGTAGTACTGTGGTAATGAGTAGTTTTCCTTTTTTTTTCAATTCCAGCATAATTAACATACAGTGTGATGGTAGTTTCAGGTGCACAATATAGTGATTCAACAGTTCTATACGGTCCTCAGTGCTCAACATGCATGATAAGTGTGCTCTTAATCCCCATCCCTGTTTCACCCGTCCTCCCACGCACCTCCCCCCTGGTAACTATTAGTTTGTTCTCTGGAGTTAAGAGTCTTTCTTGGTTTGTCTGTCATTTTTTTCCTTTGCTCATTTGTGGCTTAAATTCCACATAGGAGTGAAATCACACAGTATCTGTCTTCCCCTGACTTATTTTGTTTAGCATTATACGCTCTAGCCCCATCCATGCTGTTGCAAATGGCAAGATTTCATTATTTTTTATGGCTGAGTAATATTCCATTGAATATATACACCACTTCTTTGTCCATTCACCTCTCAGTGGACATTTGAGCTGCTTCCGTAATTTGGTTATTGTTGCTGCAATAAACAGAGGGGTGCATGTATTCCTTTGAATTAGTGTTTTTATATATGTGGGTAAATACCCAGTAGTGCAACTAATGGATCATAAGATAGTTCTGCTTCTAACTTTGAGGAGCTTCCATACTGGTTTCCACAGTGGCTACACCAGTTTGCATCTCTGCCAGTAGCACACCAGGATTCCTCTTTCTCCACAGCCTCACCAACACTTCTTGTGTCTTGTGTGTTTTAGTTTTAGCCATGCTGACAGGTGTGAGGTGACATCTCATTGTGGCTTTGATTTGCATTTCCCTGATGATGAGTGAGATCGAGCATCTTTTCATGTTTCTGTTGGCTATCTGGATTTCTTTGGAGAAATGTCTGCTTGTGTCTTCTGCCTGTGTGTTTTTAGATTGGGGTGTGTGTGTGTGTGTGTGTGTGTGTGTGTGTGTGTGTGTTGAATTATATAAGTTCTTTATATATTTTGGATACTAACCCTTTATCAGGTATGTCATTTGCAAATATCTTCTCCCATTCCTCGGGTTGTCTTTTGGTTTTGTTGATTATTTCCTTCACTGTGCAGAAAATTTTTATTTTCACATAGTCCCAATAGTTTATTTTTGCTTTTGTTTCCCTTGCTTTAGGAGACATACCTAGAAAAATGTTGCTACAACCAATGTCAGAGAAATTAGTAATGGAGTTTTCTTTTTTTTTAATTTTTAATGTTTATGCGTGAGAGACAGAGAGAGAGAAAGAGCATGAGCAGGGGATTGGCAGAGAAAGAGGGAGACACAGAATCTGAAGCAGGCTCCAGGCTCCGAGCTGTCAGCACAGAGCCTGATGCAGGGGTCGAACCTGTGAATTGTGAGATCATGACCTGAGCCAAAGTTGGATCCTTAACTAATTGAGCCACTCAGGTGCCCCATAATGGGTAGTTCTCTGAAGACCTCCTATCCATTATCTCATTTGACCCTCAGACTAACCTTGAACCTTAAAATGTTGAATGACATGCTTACACTTAAAATCACATTCTGGTTAACATGACTCTGCCTCACTCCAAATTCCTGCTTTTTCTTTTCTTTTTAATAAGTAAATCCACCAATAAGAGGTCCCCTGCCATCATCATATAATAACCTTCTGTTCTTGCTGCTATAACCAACTGAGTTTGAGAAACTCAGCTTCTCCTGTGTATTATAATTGTAACCACTTCTATTTAAGTAGTGATCTGTTCATTCATAAGTTTATTTAACATCCTTGAAATAAT